CTATACATCTCTCAATTCATTCACAGCTGCAGCTGACTGTGGTTTCTGGACCTCTGGTCCTAAGCATGTTTTGAAACAGCAAAACTCATGATGATCTTTTGTGGGTCATTGGATTGCTGTTTCCTCTCCTTGGTCTACTGGGGACTGAGCTAGCCACTGAGTCCCTAGACAATTTGTTGTGAAAATGGAAGAATTACTCCATCAACAGTTCAATTAATTTGCATTTTATTTCTCAGGTACTGGTTACCCTAGCTCCAAGCATAGACCTTTGGACTGACTCAAGATGCTCAATATGGAGCTAATGATGATTTCTATAGCTAGGTAACCATTTAGCTTTGAAGCAATGTGGCAAATTTATTTCTCAGCGTTCCCTTAAACAAGAAATTAATCTCTCTGATTGTATATGAAAGGTGATGAGATCTCAGAACCCCTAAAGATTCTGCCCAGCTCTCAAACTCATGGCTTCTAGAACTGTAAGTCATGATGGCCCTGCCCTGAGAAGTACATCTTGTCTGAGCATATGCTCCTGAGTTAGACTGGGCCTTGGGCACAGGTGGAGGGATATCGGAGGCGCAGAGCGAGTGAACAGTTGGAGCTGAGGTGGTGACTTCCTGAGCTCCTTGGAGAAAGCAGAGCCCAGTCTGTGTCTGAGAACCCCTGACGGCCTCCCATGAATGATGGGTGGAAACTAGGATCACTTTATCCAATATAGGTCAGGAAATAGAGTAATGGTCTCAGTGTCCCTTCAATGAGAGTGAGCTGTTCTCTAAATTGTGATGACAGAGCAGGTGTAGGGAAAGTCAAAGGGTTGATCCTGTTGGTTCTGTGGTATTCTTGGGAGGGAGGGGTTGACTCCAAGACCAGATGCAATCTGAAATCAGTGGACTGTTTCGAAAGGAAAAATTAACGCAGTCAGTGTTACTTGGTGTGAGCCCCTCAGACACAGCGGCAGCTCCTCCAGACTCAGCAGGACCCTTTCTCCCAGCAAGCCTGTCCCAGCTCCGTGGCCAGGTGCCGTGGCCCAGCTCCGTGGCTGGATGCCGTGTCCCAGCTCCGTGGCTGGATGCCGTGTCCCAGCTCCATGACTGGGTGCTGCCGCAGTCTCTTCTCTCCTGGTCAGCAAACCAGCACTCCAGCTGGGGGAGGATTGGCCTCTGTGTTCTCCTCTTCTGAACACTCATGCAGTGTAGTGAGATGACACGGGGTTGGGAAATAGAAGCCTTGGGTCCAGCCCCACCATTCACGACAGTGATTAATATTATCGAGTCCAAACTCAATGAATTGCGCAACACTCACTACCTCTTCGATCCTCACAGTAATCCTTGAGGCGCATAGTATCATTCACACGAGGAAACTAAAGATCAGGAATCTTCAGTAAAATGCCCCTGGTAACATAGAAGAAAGCAGGGCCAGGATTCAAATGGGGCTGTTTAACCTCAGAGTCTATGCAAGAGCACTGAGCTCCGCTGTCATCTGAACCAGCCATTAAAATCACATATTGCCGAAACCGGTTTGGCTCGGTGGATAGAATGTCGGCCTGCGGACTGAGGGGTCCCAGGCTCGATTCCAGTCGGGGGCATGTGCCTGGGTTGCGGGCATATCCCCGGTGGGGGATGTGCAGGAGGCAGCTGATCGATGTTTCTCTCTCATCGATGTTTCTAACTCTCTATCTCTCTCCCTTCCTCTCTGTAAAAAATCAATAAAATATATTTTAAAAAAAAATCACATATTGAAAAATATTTTTTTTCTAATTACAGATAGAATACAACATTCTATGAAAATCAGAAAATACAAATATAACAAGAATAGAACAAAAAAATCTCCCCTACCATCAGAAATGATCACTCAATATGTGGGTAATTTATGCTTTTAGTTTTCAATAAAAATGGCATCCTACTGTACATACTATATGTTGACCTGTCAAACCATAACTTCTTGCACTCAGTCAGACCATATGAATATGTGCTATGTTCAAGGGTGTAGGCTGGGGAGCACTTTCTGTGACTACTGCTGACATAACAAGCACAGAGGGGAGATAAGGCCAGAAAGACATGGGAAGGAAATAATGCAAACTCTGATAGCACATTGTGACAACATATGAACACAAAGCTGGCTGCGTGGAAAAGTGCAGGAAAAGGAGGCTGGGGTGTTCCGAAAAACAGAGGGGAAAGAGGACTCGAGCTGGAGCTTGTGACTTAGTTGCTGAAATTGATGAGGCTACTCTGATGGAGGCTGACATGGAAAGAAGGCATCAACCAGCGTACTGCCGAATGCGTGATAACAAGATGCAGAACAACACACATGACATACGCCAGTGAAAAGGGCGTGGGAACAAGTCCAAGGGCTGCATGTCAAACTGGAAGCAGTCATTAACTTTCTGGTGTGAGATTGCGTGAAAGGGGACAGAGGTGGTGACTTCAGTTTTTCATTCAAACACTTCAGTATTGTTTGAATATGCTACAACCACATACTAATTTTGTAATTAAAAATGGAAATTTAGCCTGGTTGGTGTGGCTCAGTGGTTGAGTGTCAACCCAGGAACCAAGAGATCATGGTTCAATTCCAGGTTAAGGCACATGCCCAGGTTGTGGGCTCTGTCCCCAGTAGGGGGCGTACAGGAAGCAGCTGATTGATGATTCTCTCTCATTGATGTTTCTATTTCTCCCTCTCTGGGGGAAAAAAATATATATATAAACACACACAAAAATTAAAATTTAAAGAGAACTTTGTAGGAATTAGATTGACAGAGGCGGGGGAAAGGTATTTTGAGGGAGGAGGAAATGGGGGTCGTAGGAACCAAAATACAGAGGGGGAAAAAATAGAGTCAAAGAAGGTGGGAGTTAGAGATGGGTTGCCAATGCGCTATATTCCCACAGTCATCTGCTGTGTGGATTTGAATTTATGGGACCTAAAGAATGTTCGGCAGGTTCCAGAGAACCGGGATGGCGAAGTATCTCTTCCATGTTTATCTAAACTACTTTTCAGGGTGTGTATCTGGGCCCCTCTCCCCAGCCTATTTTACACTGTGGAGAGGAAGGAGGCAACAGGAAGTTGGTCCAAACAATAATGGAACAACTCACCGTGGGGTCCTGGGAGGACTACGCCAAGAACCCCAGCATCTCCGTGAGCTCTCTGGCACACAGAAGGACCAGCACCTGGGTACCAGATGTGCACGCACACGTACGTGTGCCACTTCTGATCCATCTGGGGCTCAAGACAAAGGCTTGGCTTTTGATCATGGGAAGGAGATAGATTCATTACAGAGCACAGGATAAGAAGTTCCAGAGCTGGAGCGCGAATAGACAACGGTTCTTCGCTCCTTGCTTCCCTTTCATCTTATCTTCCGGGGCCCCTTTGACATTTGGTGACGACTGCACTTGTGAGAGTCTCTGGATTTTGCCCCTACTCAGTTTTGATAATTTGTTTAGATACTGCTCTCTTGCAAATATGGAGTCTTCTGAAGCAGCCGAAAGAAGAGAGACTATGCAAAATATAATAAGTGGCTGATATTTTGCCTTGTGTCTCATTACACTTAATGTCATTGCTCAGTTCAAATGTAACTCTTATTGTGTGCTGACGGTGGTTTGCAGAATCACTGTAGGTCACCGTGAAGGTGATGCTACACTTTGGGTCTTGGGTGGAAGTGAGAGGAGGCTGATGGTGGAAGGGTTCAGCACTCATGGGCTAAGATTTTGGAATTTCATCTTCTCCATTTTCCCTCTTAGGAGATACTAACTTGATATACATAATATATTTTTATTGATTGATTGAGAGAGAGAGAGAGAGAGAGAGAGAGAGAGAGACATCAATGTGAAAGAGAAACATTGATTGGTTGTCTCCTGTATGCACCCTGACCAGGGATCAAACCTGAAACCTGGGTATGGGTATGTACCCTGACCAGGAATCAAACCAGAGACCTTTTGGTGTACAGGATGATGCTCAACCAACTGAGCCACACCAGCCAGGGCGCAATGTATCTCATTATGTCGAGAAAAGGAACACGATTTCTTCACAATAAGAACAGCAAGTGGTTTGGTGGTAATTATTTCCCCTCCCTTCTACCGTCTCCAAAAATCAATGGACAAATATCCCCAGGTGAGGATACACACACACACACACACACACACACACACACACACACACACACAATTTCTGTAATGAAATAACCCTACATACAGAAATGATACCACACTGTAACATTCTCACCACAGTTCCTAATATATGAATAGAAGATGCTCTCTGTTTTCACCCAGAGCGGATGCATCATTTTCACATTGTTCACATGTTCTCCCCATGAGGGCTATAGGACTATGTTTGCACGTTTACTCCTGCACTGTGGGCCATGCCTCTGGGCCTTAAACTAATCTATTTTAGAAATGACCGAAAACCGGGCTTCTATGAAGAGCGTCTTTTTGTTTTGCTTTTTAGAAATCACAGCTTGCTATTTGGTCAGCTTCCTTCCACAGCATTATTTTCTCTTCCTCAAGAAATATCACATCTCACATCAGGTTCATAGAGAGACAGCAGAAGCCGGAGCAGGTGACTGGGCAGTGGGCGTCCTCTTTTTGACAACCTGGTCCTCTCCCTCGCCTGACCCCTTGCCTGGGTAAATCAAGGCTCCACGGAGAGTCAAGAAATATGAAGCCTAAACACTCACAAGTCCAATAAGAGTAAAATCAAAATGCATGAGCAAAAGCTGAGCCAGCGTGGTACCCACTGAGCTAGTTCCCCTTCACCCATCTCCCTCCCCATCACCCCCAATGACCGAGTTACATTTAACTGGAGGGTAATTTGAAGGATAGGGGAAAAGGTGTGATTTTATGTTGCCCCAGCCAGTAGCATTACTTGCTTGTCCACCTAAACTACAAAGCCTTCCTAGTTGCTGCCGCTGTGATGTCAGGGGCTAGCAGAATCCTGCCTTTTCCTCCGCATTCCGTGCTTGACCACACCCCCCAATTTAAGGAGGCAGCTCTATTAGGAGCATTATGGTCTTTGCATCCTCCAGCCACGGAGCCTGGGATTCCCGCAGGTAGTTGGAAAGAGACCTCGACATTGAGGGACGCTCACTCAGGACTGATTCCTCCTCGCCCTGTCTCTCCGGCAAAGTAGTAAGTGAGGTGTGAGTTTCTGCCTAAAACTTCGCAGGCCATTTTCCCTTTCCTTTTTTTTTTTTTTTAAAATCCTGTCTAATTAAATGGTAAATTGATGGGGACGTTGAGGATACAAGTGGGTTTTCTCTTTTCCCATTTTCCTGTGTTTTCCGTGCACTTGTTTAATAACAATCTTTAAGAATACTTCCTAATCTCATTCAAATAGTCTAAAACCAACACTGTTTCACTCTCTTTCCTGGTTTAGAAAACAACGTCATGCACGTTTAGATATGCAGAGATTACAGGTCGAAACTCTGAATTTTCTTGGCATTTTGGAGCACTTCCAAAGAACTGGCGCTGTCGTTAAACGTAGACATTTGTTTTTTTTATTTTTCCCTCTTTCACTCCTCGTAGCCTATTGCTTTACATCTTTTTTTTTCCCTAGCAGCTTAATGAGTTGCTTTATAGGGAGGAAATTGCTGCGGGTTTGAATATAGCAAGCCACACCAGCCTTTTGGGTGTTTTCCCCTGACGTGGGGCTCAGTTTTCCAAGGTTTGCCTTGTCTTTTGGATGATAGTTAAGACGGGGGAGGGGGTCTCTGAGTCAGTGGGCATTTCTCCCTCCCCCGCAGAGCTGGGCTGGAGGGGCACTGCTAAGGAAAAGCAGGAGGTGTGGACAGCCATCCCCCGCTACTCAGCGATTTTCTCCGGCAATTCCATTTTGTGGTTTCTCGTCTACTGTTGAAAGTCTCTGCTGCCCCCTTTTAAAGTAGCATTTTTATGTGGACGGGCCATTGAACAAGACGCTGGGTTCCTGAGATCAAGGCATTGGATTGTAGGTGATCCTTATTATCTTAGGAGTCATTATTTTGTTAACCTCAAGGCCATTTTTCTTTCTACTTCATGCAACTGACAAGAGAGATGTTTGCTAAGCAACAGTCAATACAGATCCGAATGATAACCAGGCAGCTCCATTTGATTTGTAAATGGCTGGCACCTTGACCTTTCATCAGCTGTGGTTCTGGATTGCCTGGCCTCCTTTTTATCTCCCCAGAAACCCCTTCTGCTGCTGCCGGCACAGGCTACTCAGCTGGGGTTGTCTGGTGGCCATGGGTGCTACTGAGATTCCTACCTACCTGTCCTTCCAAGGGAGGGAAGGGCCAGCTAACGAGTTAATGTCTTCAAAGTGCTTTGAAGATGAAAAGACCTTTTCATGTGCTCAGCATTGTCGTTATTAATATTAATATTTGAAGAACCATGCTGCTTCTAGTTGTAAATCCACAATGTCCATCCTCGCCAGCTCAGCAGTAAAAAAACAAACAGTGGAGGCAGCCAGGCAGCCTCTTCCGTCCTGGTTCCGCTGCCGAGGATGTGGGAAGCGAGGGTCTGATTACAGAGAGGGCATCGTTGTCCCACAGGCTCCTTGCACGGAGGTGCTGGCTGGTAGAGGTGCCAGGAAGTCCAAGAGGAGAGCCTGGGGGAGGGAGGGTGGGTATCGGGGTGCCATCCTTCCATAGCTGACCTCTGTGACCTTGGAGAAATGGTTGAGGGCATGGGCCTGGGCCAGGTACCTGCCTCTGAGTACAGCCGAGTTCAAAGGCGAGTAGGGTCCGAACTGGCATCAGCCCTGACTTGGGAGTCAGGAAGGTGGAAGTGTACTTGGGTTCCCTTAGGGTTGCCTTTGTCACTGTGAACTAGTGATCTCACTTGATTGCGCCTTATTTCTTTCATCTCTGAAGAACGTGGGCAGTGATCTGCACCCCCACCTGCCTCACACGGATGACAGAAGAGAAGTAAATAGCCTGGGAGCTCTGAAGGGTGAAAGTGCCAACAAGGTGGAGAGAGTGTGAAGTAATGCAGTAACAAGCGGGGTGTGTGGGTGCGGGTCCCTAGGGGGGATCCAGGCCGAAGGCAAATATCAAATGCTCAGAATCAAATACGCCGTTCTGACCTGTCTTCCTGGTTACACTGGGAGCTCCGTGCACACATGGCTGGGTTTCCTACTGACCACCTCCTGGTTTTATTTACTGGTGAACAGATCTGTTTGCCATGGCAACTCCCTTTTCCTAATTACTATTCAGAATTCCCAGTTCTGGCCCTAGCCGGTTTGGCTCAGCGGATGGAGTGGCGGATTGCCGACTGAAGGGTCCTGGGTTCGATTCCGGACAAGGGCACATGCCCGGGTTTCGGGCTTGGTCCCTGGTAGGGGGTGTGCAGGAGGCAGCCGATCAATGATTCTCTCTCATTATTGATGTTTCTATCTCCTCTCCTTCTCCCTTCCTCTCTGAAATCAATAAAAATATATAAAAAATGAAAAATAAAAAAAATTCCCATTTCTGCATCAAACAAAAGGAAGGGGTACGTCCCTGAAGCTGGGCATCATCCTCCATCTCTCCCTTTCTCCTCTTCTTCCTCCTTCTCTCTCTCTCCTTTCTCTCTCTCTCTCTCTCTCTCTCTCTCTCTCTCTCTCTCTCTCTCATATGCGAATTAAATTTACAAGTATTTAGTACATTTGGGCAAAATGAAGGTGGTGTGCAGCAATTTAGTGCCCCTTGGCCTCTTGTGAGTTTCTTGAATCCTGGGGAAATTTAGGTCTGGAGACAACTCACTTTTTGCCTCTTCCTTTCCTTTCTTCCTGCTCTTCTGCAAATGCAGCTTTAGAGAGCTGACTCTTACATCGATGCCTGGTGCCCCCCACTTTCCCGGAGGAAGGATAATCCTTCCTGTTTACTGAGCACTTGGTACGTTATTCAGGGTTGATCCAGGGCCCGTGCCAGGTGCTCTGCATGGAGGCCCTCACTTAGCCACGGTGCAGTCGTTAACAAAGGAGGATTCTGAGGCTTGCAAGGTTCTATGACCAGCTCAGTGGGAGATGGGGGCGCGGATGGGGTCGGGGGTGGGGGGGAGGTTGATTAGAGCCAGAGGAATGTGAGCCCAGAGCTCCTGGCTGGGGTGGTATCTCAAAGGACCCCCAGGAGCTTTGAGATACTCCACTTAGACTTTAGGCTGGGCTTTTCTGTTTAGACCTACGATTTGCTTTTTTCTGGGAGAATACGGTGGATTGGGCCTATTTTTCAAAGGGGAATCTGCGGATTCAGTATTCACTGCTCGGAAGACACAGTCTGTAAAGAAACGCTACCATGTCTGGTCAACCTGGGTCAGAAAATCTCACCCCATCCCCCTTGTGACAAATATCAGGTGAATTTCTACTCTGTGCCCAGCCTTGTGTTTTGTGCGGAGATGAACACATAAGGGACACTCTGTAAATTGCAGTTTTAAAACGTAACAATTTATTCTGGGAGGCAAACATCTTATCTGAAAAGAGCTTAAAAATAAGAGGTAATTGTGAAGTGGTATGATACAGAGTGCTCCCAGAGTGCATGTGGAAAAAATGGTGCTGACAGCAGTGAGGGAAAGATGTTTGTGATCAATTTTGATACTCAGAGAGGGTGGCTTTGACATTTCAGTTGACTAAATGCCAGTGCTGTCTCAGCAGCTTAGAAGAGACAGTTTAGATAGTATTTATTCTTTATTATAGTCAAGCAGCAAACTTGTAGTGCTGCTACCAAGAAAATATTCGGAATGGGAGCAATAAGATGGATAAATTTTCAAGCAGTATATTAAAAAGGTAGAAAACTCCAGGATTTTAGTCTTTTGCACATTTAAAACATTTAAAATGTTTATTTTGCAATCATTTCAGATACACAGAAAGTTCCAAAACATAGTCCAAAGAGTTTTCAAAAGAGTTAAGGCCCTTAACGTTGTGAAAACTAGAATGCAGGCCACTCCCAATGAACTTTGGTGCCTCAATGATCCTTGATCCAAACAGAACCCTGTCAAGGGGGGGCAGAGCAGGATGCCAGTTTGTTGAGGCGCCACAACGAAAACCACAGCTTCTCAGAAAAGGCAGGAAGCCTCCCCAGATGTGGCCATCACCTGGCTCGTGGCTCCAGAGGCATGGACAGGTCTTGAGCTGTCCCTTCTGCCTGGCTGGGCTTGGCTGCAGCTAAACTATAAATCACACGTCTGCTCAGCAGGTGACACAGAAGCCTTCTTGCCTGCTCCTCACTGGGCTCTGCCTCCAAAACACTAGTGATAATTACTCATGAACTTCACCAAGTTAGTCCAGACACAGCCTTGCTCCTCCAAGCGAGTTCCTCTGACCAGCAGCATCCAGCGAGCAGATTGGGGGGTCTTGTTAGAAGTGCAAACGGTCAGGAGGGACCTCAGACCTTCTGTACGGTAACGCGCTTCCCAGGTGAGCCTCCCACCTGTCAGCTGGGGAAGCGGCTGCTCTAACAAACCCAAAAACCCTAACACACAAGAACTCTTGCAATATTTCCCCCAGCAGCTTGCGACTTCCCTATAGTTGTATCTAGTTGCTAAAGGGTTACTCCACGAAAGATGGGCACTTATATAAAAAGGTGTGGGTTTAAGAGTATTTCCCCATCGGTGCTGTGCAATCTCTCAGTGAGTTCGCGCCCCGCTGTAAGAAAAGAGCTCACTTCTTGTTTTCATGCACAACAATGATCCAAACACACTCCCACTGAACAGACCTTGTGAATTTCACATTTTTCTCCTGTGAACTTCTTGACGAATGCTCCTCAACCGATGATTAGTGAAGGGAATCCTGGTTTTGATTATTTAAATGCATGTCCTTTAGAAAAACAAAGATAATGGATTTAGGCCACCTGGGTTCTGGCGCAGTTACCTAGATAAATGATCTCTGCTACCTTGGCAGTAGTAATTCGAATTAATAAAAACCATGATTACTATTGATTAGTGAATGCTTACTAATGCCAGGCCCTGTGATAAAACCCTATATAATAAAAGGCTAATATGCAAATCAATCGAATGGTGGAACAACCAGTCGCTATGATGCACACTGACCACCAGGGGGCAGATGCTCAACACAGAAGCTCCCCCCTGGTGGTCAGCGCGCTCCCACAGGGGGAACGCCGCTCAGCCAGAAGTCCAGCTCATGACTGGCAAGTACAGCGGCGGTGGTGGGAGCCTCT